TGTGTGTTTCTGTGTTTGCAGAATATGTTTGAATAAAGATGAAACTAGTATACCATATTCCTCACTTATGTGGGGGTTCTGACATTGCGTATAATATCCTTTATATTTTATAGTACCAAACTTCTTAGGTAACCCACTCCTACTGCATGCAACTTTTATATTTCTCCTCACATACCCCACTTATGTCACTACTATATAAAAAAGTTTTACAGTGTTTTGGTCTGGGTAATTATGTAGCTTTTAGTATATATATTACTATATGCTGCCCAGAGTCTTCTTGGAGTTGGGCAGCTTTAATAAATTCAGTGAATGAATGAATGATCCAGCTGAATACACATTGAAAAAAGAAGTCAAGTATTAATAAATGAACTCTCCACAAGATTTTTAATGCAATAAATAAATGCTTTTAAATATATTGTATTATTGCTCAGTAATAAAAAAAATAATAATCTACAACACTCACCAGAACAAAACATATTACTCTATTTGGACTTACCCTGATATTATACTAGGTGGTGCAGCAATTTCAGAGATACTGATTTTGGGAAGAGATGGAATATCCACAACAAACAGTCTTATTGTTGGATTTATAGTACCTGCCTGGATAAAATTAAAATATCTTATAACAGACTTTGTCCATATGGCAGTGTTAATTAGAAAAACACAATAAACTTCAAAGAAGGTAGCTTTCAAAGCTCAATATGAAATATAAGAAAATTATGCATTTTTTTAAAATGTTTTTTTTATAGAGGTTCATTGCTAAAAATCTGAAAGCCAGTACTAAAGCTTTGATTCAATACAAATAAAAATCATGTAATTTTTATATGTGAGTGAAAGCAGTCAATTCAGGATAAATTATGACCACCCACATTTTGTGAAGGATTATTCTTTTAAAGTAAACTTCTTTAAAATATACATTTCTGTGTGTGCTAGACACACTATTTAAGTTTTTTTTTAAAAAACTTATATGCCATGCCACAAAGATCCATTCTAGCATTATTATTTCAAGGAATGCTCACCTATGCCAAATAAAGCTAACCTGAAGCAAGTTAGCAGCTGGTAAGAATGGTGGAGAACGTTTTGACTTCTCTCAAATGGATGTTTTGTGAGGGGCCATGCATACCATGTCAGACATTTTGCAAATGGACAGTTTCACAGATTTTAGCCCAAAATTTATCTACCCCTCTTTTAGAGATCAATGTAACACTAACTCCACATCACATGACAGTAAAAACTGTTATCACTGAAAACAATTTTCAGATTAAGATGAAAACGCTAAACATGCCTCTCAAAATAAACTGGAATTTCATACATTCATCATGGCCCATTGTTAACTGATAGTTTTCATCTCTGGAAAAAAACAACCAGTGAGCATATCTTTTCATTTGTACTATTTAAAAATAAATATAACTGACTACTTTGCTTAAAGAGAGGACATTGTCTAGCTTTGTTTCTAATTGGAAA